ACATATAAAGCATTAGCATGTCTGCAATGTACTTTTTTTGGACATAGATGTCAAGAAATGCATAAGTACATCACCATCACGTCTGGAGAGGCTTTCTCTATCACAAAAACATCCTGCTGCTTCTGGGAGGTTTCCCTCCCAAGAACTGCTCCTTTTACTCTTTTTGTTTGGTGTTGTTAATACTCCTCTTTCACCACTATATGCACATACGGAGGAAGGGGTCAACCTCTTCGCTACTTTACATCCATGTTAATCTACCCCTCTGATTGCTCTAGTCCCTTCGAGGAGCTGACCCTTCCCCTTCACTGCTCTTCTTTTTTTGGGGGGGGAGCGAAGATATTTAAAGACACTCCCCCTCTATCGTGAAAGGGTTGGCATCACAGTCTTCTGGGCCCTAGAGTACGGGGGGGGGGGATGGCAAAGGGTCTTTCCCCTTTGGGTACCAGGCCATCATGAGGCCTAAGACAATGCTCGCATACTCAGAAGTAAGTCCCATCGAGTTCAATGGGGCTCACTCCAAGGAAGCATGTGTTGGCTCCCCAGTCTTCTGGAGGGACACAGGCAAGGCAGGAGGAGCTATCCTCAGCACTCCCTCTTAGAAGATGCCTTCAAGAACCCTAGCTGTGCCCAGAGGATTCCCAAACCTCTCTGCTGTAGTGGTTCTACCGAATGGTGTTTCAAAGGGTTCCATCCTGCATCATCCTCTCGCCACAGATTGTCTTTGGGATTGTGCAGGAAGCCCTAACCCCCCCCCCCCATTAACTGCTATCTCTGGCTACACATCTATGCTAAAAGACTCCCCCATTCCTCCCCCCAACCACTTCCTATTTCCTTTCAGGGGATGTCCTAGGGTCAGCACATTGCCCAGGATATTTCCCCAAATGTGGGATAACCCTTACTGAGTGCCTTCCCTGGGTGATTCCTATCTGACCTTTTTCTTCTTAGAGATGCCCTTGAGCACCCCAGTTCCTCCAGAGTGACCCCCCCCCTCATCTCTGTCCTGGTTAAAGGCCTCCTCCCTTCATACCTGCCCACAGGTTGTCTCTTACAAGGTGACCTCAAAGGGTTTTTTTGGGGGGGAGGGGGAACAAGCCACCTCCTGGGTGTGAAAAGCCTGCTTCAAATGTCCTGGTTGTCCTCATGCATTCTGGGAGATGACTCCTCTTGGATGCTTTTGGAAGGAGGGGGCAAAGCAAGACTGCCACGGGATAAAGCTCTTATGGAGTAGGGAGGGCTGCCATGACCCCCTCCTTCCTGCTGCATCCAGTCCTAATGGGGGGGGGTATCCTGTGCAAAAAAGAGGGGCCCCCCACTTCCGAGCCGTTTGGCTTTCCAAGACGTCCATCTCTTTCCTCCAGAGGAAGCCTTTGAATCTTAAGTGTCACCCTTCTTCTCTGCCCCCCACCCATTCCCAGGAGGTGCTTCCCTCTTCTGGGCAAGCTTCCTGAGCACCTCTCATCAGTGTCTACAAGCTTCCCCGAGAGGATCATGCGGTCTCCGTTCTCTCCTTGCTCTTGGGCCCTGCCTAGAGGCCTGCCTCCCAGCCCTCCAGTGTGGGCATGAGTTGTTCGGGGGTGATGGGGGCCACCGACCTGGGTCTCAGACCCCTTCCCCCCCCCATCCTCTTCCCAACCTCCTTAAGCCAGCAATGCACTGTCTTCTCTGAGGTTGGGGAGCTGCCTTCTCCTCTACCTGCAATCTTTCCCCTTTCTGATCCTCGCAGCGCAGGATGCCTCTGTGATCCGGGGAGGGTATTTCTCCTCTCAAGCCATGTCCACCACCACCCGGCTCCTGATCACTCCATGTTTGCACGTCTGAGACGGGGGGAGCGAGTCACCCTCCTCTCTCTGCTTTGGAGTTGGGGGGGGATCTTGCTCCTCTGCATCACCCCCCCTCCCCAGAGCCGTTGCCTGAGAATGCACAATATGCCTTCGAGGTCACCCTTCCATGTCCTGCAACGGGGGGGGGGGCTGCTTCACCTTCCTCCTCCGCCTCTCGTGGCCGGGCCCCCCTTACCTCCAGACTTGTCCCATCTGCAGCAGGTGGATGACGGACTGCCAGATCCAGACGGAGAGCCTGCAGAGGCGCTGCGCTCCGGGGGCGCCGGCGTGATGTCCCGGCCCGGCCCTCCTGCCCCCTCCGACGGAGCCCATCATGGGAGGCCCGCGGCTGGTGAGGCCCTGCACGGCCCCCAGGCCTCCTCCGGTGTAGTCCTGCACGAACCATCGGAAGCTGAGGATCTGCACCAGGACGGAAGGCAGGAGGACGAAGGCCAGCGTGAGGCCGCACCACAGATAGTCCCGCCGGCCGTAGTGGTCCAGGGCCAGCCAGAGGTCGGTGCCCACGTCGCCCAGCAGCACCAGCAGCGCCAGCACGATCCACAGGCAGTCCAGCCACGGCCGCTCCACCGCCGCCGCCCCCGCCGCCCCGGCCCCCGACGGCGAGGGGGGCTGCCCGTCCCCGGGCGCCAGCGGGTCGC